AGAAAGGAAAGGATCTACTGCTCTGAAGTGTCTATTCTATATCAGGGACCAAGCAAAATACACCTTGCCCAGATAAGAACTGTTAAATATCCATTTTACCAATGTGGAAGTAGCAGCACATAAAGTTAAAAATTTTCAGGTCATAAGACAGAACTGAGATACAAACCTGATATTGTCTCTCTTCAAGGCTCAAGACCTCTCCAACTTATGTCCTCTTAATCATTCCTTAGTAGATACAGAAAATAGTCTGTGCCATATCACATTGAAAAATTAATTTCTAAATATTTTATTTTGCTCAAATCTTCTCAGTCATCCCCCTTTATGTAACATTAGGGTCCATACTACTTAGCCTGAATAGCAAGGCAGTACAGCCCAGTAGTAAACAACTTCTGTGGGTTTGTGTGTGTCTATACCATTAGGAACTCTGTAATTTATTACTAAACCTCTAAATTATTCTTAATCTGAAATTATTCTAAATTACTTAACCTGAAATTATTCTCTAAAATGGGCATAGTAGTGTCATTGTCAGTTGGGACCACTATAAAAAATATCATAAACTGGTTGGTTGATGTACAATAGAAATTGATTTCATTTCTCACAGTCCTAGAGGCTGGAAGTACAAGAGCAAGGTGCCAGAATGCTCTTGTTCTGGTCAAGGCCCTTTTCTTGTTTACAGACTTCCAATACTAGGTAGCTCCCCGGCCTCTTCTTATAAGGGCACTAATGTACATTCATGCATTCTTCACCCTCATGTTCTAATTACCTCTTAAAGGACCTCTTAAAGGCCTTGCCTTTAAACATCATCACATTGGCATTAGGGTTTGACACATAAATTTGGGGAGGGTACAAACATTCAGTTCATTGTAAATAGTATCTACCTCACACACAGAGTTTATTTTGGAGAATAAATAATATCCTAATATATAACCCCCTCATGCACAAATTTTGTGCACTGGGTCACTAGTAATACATATAAAGAGATTAGCACAGTACACAGTAAGGACTTGATAAATGTAAGCCAGTACTACTATGTGTTGCTTTTGATATTTTTAAGGTTGTTAAAATTAAAGTATAATAGACATTATATTATTTTCAGGCATAAAACCTAATGATTCAATATTGTATACATTATGAAATGATCATCTTAGTAAGTCTAGTTAACATTCATGACTGCACATAGTTACAAATTTTTGTTCTTGTTGCTGTTTGTTAATACCAGATCCTCAAACCTCAGAGGGAAGGTAGGGGAGGGTAGGGGTAAGGGGGAGAGATCAACCAAAGGACTTGTATGCATGCATATTAGCCTGACCAATGGACACAAACAATAGGGGGTGAGGACATAAGTTGGGGGATGGGGAGCAATGGGGACATAAGGACACATATGTAATACCTTAATCAATAATTTTACAATGCCCTTTAATTATAACTTTTGTTTTTTCCTCAAAAAGTTCTCCAAAGTACTAACTTGCCTTTAGCCAGGCTGGTCTCCCATGCTTTGCCAAATTCTATGATTATCCATGCCTTTATTCTTTTGAACTAGCATCTCTTTCTTTCCATCTGCTCATGCAATTCTGATCAATTTTCTCACTTTCTCAAGCAAAGTTGGTCACTCCAAATAGCTATCCTATGGATGTAAGTCAGCTTCTTTCCCAGGCTACCTTGTGCCAGATTGTTCAATGTGTAAAGTGGCTATGGCAGCAAGAATGGGATTTCGGCATGAGCTCAACAACATTGACTTTGCCTTATGGCTGGTCTTGCTGGCATCACTATTGATTGGCTTGTCTGCCAACACCAGAAACATTAGTGAGCCCTGATAAGACAGGTGGAGGAGGGCAGGCAGAGGAGTGTAGGAGATTGATTACATTTAATTTTTTCCATCATGAAGAGAGCAGCAATCTGTCTTTACTGGAATATATATGTATACCGAATACAGATTGGAGCTCCCACCCTAAACACAATAAGCAATATTGCCATTCATAGATTTAAAGGATAAATTGTTCACTATCACATTATTTCATATAACATTGCTAAAGAAGTGTGGGTTGGCCTCATGGCCATGAAATTCACTGCTTCAACAATATGCTCCACTACTGAAAAGACAATTGGCCCCATAGAGTTTTGAAAATGCTTACTGAGCCCAGCTGGCATGGCTCAGTGGTTGAGCACCAGCCTATGAACCAGGAGGTCACAGTTTGATTCCTGGTCAGGGCACATGCCCGAGTTGTGGACTTTACCCCTAGTAGGGAGTGTGCAGGAGGCAACCAATCAATGATTCTCTCTCATCATTGATGTTTCTCCTCTTTCCTTCTCCCTTTCTGTCTGAAGTCAATAAAAAGAAATATTATAAAAATAAAATGCTTATTGAAGATATTGCCTTAGTGCCTGTTAGAGGTTATACCCATGAGGTTGGGAACTGTGCTCAAAATGTGACATATACTTTAAATCAATGAGCAATATTGGCACTGTTTCCTCATAGCCAAAATACCCAGGTCTTGAAACTAAGAGGTAAAGTTGAGAGTGGTCTCAGGCACTATTACACCTAATGATCCATTCATTAAATTTTGCTAAAAATCTCTGAAGCTTTTGGCTTTGTTGACTCAAAGGTATTGATTCCCAAGGGGCAGGGAGGATATTTCTGCCAGAGGACACAGCTATTTTTCTATTGAATGGAAAGCTGAGCCTGCTACTTGATATGGTTAGGTTCCTCAGGCCACTAACCTTACTACAGGCAAAGAAGGGGCTACTGTAAAGGGGTTTTTAATTCTGATTAATAAGAGGAAACTAGGATACTGTATATACTGGGGGCAGAGAGGACTATGACTGGAACTTGGGGGATTCCATGGACCTCCATTTCCAATTATAAAAGTTAATCAAAGAGTACCCAATTAATGCTCAGATTCCTTACAATGAAGGCTTGAGTTATCCAACCAGCTAAATAAATTTAATCAGCTGTGGCGAAGGCTAAAGCTAGAGAGAACATGGACTAAGTAGTAGAAAATGGAATTTCAATTTTTACTATAGCTTAGAGTCCAAGAACAGAAATAAGAACTATGGCATATTTTGTTTCAGTGTGTGTATTTTGTTTCTTGCTTGAAAAACATGTGTATTAATCATTTTCTCCACTTCCTCTAATATTTTTAAATAGAAATGTTGGTAATAGTTCACTTTTTGTTAGTCTTAAGCTATTAAATGCCTCAGTGAGCTTTTTACTTACCTGGAAAATACATTAACATTGCCAGAAAGGGATAAAATGACTAATAGGTCCTTGTGTTTCTCCCTTTTGGGGAGATAATGAATATGCCTTAATTTATGCAAGAAAATTGCAGAGATGATGTCATAGAAAAGGTGGATTAGAGGGTTCCAAGAATTGGTCCTTCCATTGAAACAGCCGCTAAGTGGTAGAGACTGACAATCAATTTTATTGGATCTCAGAGTTCAAAATCTTACTATAACCGAGGAAGTGCTTAGTGAAGTTAGTCACTCCTAAATTTTGGAAAGAAAATATTGTGGCTTTTTTCTTCTTTTTTTTTCATCCTTCATTCCCCAGTAGAGTAGTGGCTATGGGGACAGTGACCCATAACCTTGATGTGCTTTGCTGGTGCTGGTCTACAGGGAGAACAATAAAGATCTTGTTCTGAAAAAAAATGTTGTTGGGTATTTTAATTGGTCCAATGCTTTCCCAAGGACTGGCACAAAGATGGACCTTTGTTTGCCTTCATTCCTTGGTATTCACTAACGATGCTAGAGCATCTTTCTAGGTAAACTCTGTTGAAAACATCTAAAGACACATGGCACATATCTGCCTGACACAATAGGGACAGAAGATGGGGCAAGCAGAAGACAAATCCAAAACATTGGGAAGGAGCAGAGTGAGAAAGAAAATTCTTGGGGAATTATATGCTCTGAAAGACTACTACAAATACCAGGGGATTCTGAGTGTAACACACAGAGTAAGATGTATGTTCACAAAAGACCTAAGACAATTAGGCTTTTATCTCTGACTAATCACTGGGCTCTGCAAAAGCAGAAGGTGAAGGCTATGGCAGAGTAATCGGTGACCTGAATTAGTGTTAAAGTTGTTCCCCAGCACGGAGCCAATCTGCAAAGTGTGTGTGTGTGTGTGTGTGTGTGTGTGTGTGTGTGTGTGTGTGGTTTTTCTTTGTGGCTCCAAATGTTTCAGGAAGTCTCTGGCAGATAATTAGCTGACTATTGAGATAACAACACAGAGATTTCCATGACCACATACAACAAAGAATAGTCTTCGCAAGAAATAGTTTGGAAAGGTCATTAAACAAACATGACGGAAGCCTTCAGCAGTAAGTAACAGCAAACTCTGGGAAGAGGGAGAATTGCATCATTAGAGTTACCATTTTATATTCAACAGAAAACTACAAGGCATACAAAGAAACAGGAAGCATGGCCCATTCACAGGAAGAGATGACACTGACAGACCCTGTCTCTGAGGAAGCACATATTTTGGACTTCATTAATGAACACTTTAAATCTATTGTTTTAAATTTGTTCAAAGAGCTAAAGGAAACAGTAGACAAGAACTGAAGGTAACAGGAGAATGATGTATCAATAAAGAAATAAATTATAAAAAAAAGAACTAAGTAGAAGTTCTGGAGGTGAGAAGTATAAGAACTGAAATGAAAAAAAATTCATTAAGTGAATTCACAAACTAAATGCAGTATGCATCCTAATACAAATGCTCATATGCATTCCTCAAAATGGTATTATTTTGTCAAAGGGTATACGCATTTGAAATATTCATAAATATTGTAAGACTAGAGGCCTAGTGCATGTAATTCAGGCATGAGTAGCGTTCCTAGGCCTGCAAGGAAATCGGAGCTGATCAGGGCCTTCCAGCTGCTGGCTGGGGCCTTCTTTCCCCTGGCTACAGGCTGCTGGCTGGGGCCTTCAATCATTCTGCACTGCCCCCTGGTGGTCAGCACACATCATAGTGAGCTGTCAAACCCTTGGTAGGTTGAATTCCTGAGGGGACAATTTGCATATTAGCCTTTTATTTTATAGGATTATCTGCCACTTCCTATTTGCATTGAACTTTCTCATTTCCCTTAAACAGTCCTTATTTTATTTACATGTAATGAGATTTGCCCAACCAGCATTAATATATACTTGATTATGATTAATAAATTGATATGGTGTTCCTAGGAGTCGTTTGTAATTATCAAATGGCATAAGGATTTTCTGCTGTAGGGGATAGCAAGAGTATTTCTTCCTGTCCTGTAGGAGAGAGATGTTGCAGAAACTGAAGCAGAAGGGGTACTGCTTTTGCCCAAGAGAGGAAGAATGATGCATTTTGGGGAAACAGGACATTTCTCCACTTCTAAGTGGAGCACACTGTGGGTTTTGTTATGGACAGTGAACATGAACCAGAAGAATGCCTCCCTTCCCCCCCACCCCCCCTAAAAAAAAAGATGTAATTCACTTGAAACATCATAGGGGATTAGCAGAAATAATAGAGTTGTGCTTTGAGAGGTCATTAGTGAATATCAAGTGTCAGTGGAACAAGTATTGTTGCAATTAAAGTAACATCTCTTCTCATTTTACACTTGTATCCATTGACTGGAAGGTTGTGAGCAAACCTACATTGCATATATTGGAATTGAATTCTCCAATTGGCCCAAAAATTCAGATCATTTTGAATAAACCCACTTCCTAAAATAGCAAATCCTTTTTCTCTGTTGATCTTTTTTACTGTGAAAATATTTTAGAGTGGAAAAATATAGTCACAAAATAATTAAAAACCTTGTTAATATAGTTGTGAACTTTTAAATTGAAGTTTGTGCTTTATATTGTTTGCAAATGAGCTTCCAAAATAAAGCAAAACTTCTTCCTTTCTGGAAATTTAAACTTCAAAGCTCAAAATATAAATTTTTTTTTTTACTTAAAAAATTCCTCCTCACCCAAGGATATGTTTTATTGAGAGAGAGAGAGAGAGAGAGAGAGAGAGAGAGAGAGAGAGAGAGAGAGAGAGAGACATCAATGTGAGAGAGAAACAGCAATTGATTGCCTTTATATGAACCTGACAGGGAATTGAACACACAACCTTTTGGTTTATGGGATGACACTCCCATCACTGAGGCACCTAGTCAATGCTAAATCCTTTATTTAAAAAATTCAACAAAGAAAGAGTGTTAATGGATACATCTAAGGACAATTTGATGATGCAAAGAGGCATATGTATTTTATGTACTACCACAGCTTTGCCAATTTTCCTGCTTTGCTGAAAAGTTCATTTTCAAAACATCAGTGCTCTATCATTTGACAGCTTGCTGCTTCAGAAACTCTAAATTTCTGGTGTGTAGCTAATGTATGTACATTTAGAAAGCACAAGATCTGCATTCATATGTATGCAACTCTTAAATTACATGGTGCTGTCAAGTATTGACTTTTATGGTTGATAGCTTTAATATTACTATTTGTGTCTCTATAAATTATTTTTGCAGAAGCCAAAAAAGAAGAAAATCCAAGTTTTATTAATCGGTATACTAAGCATAACACTCAAGACATAATTTATTTGAATATCAATAACATGATTTTAATAACATCAAATATTTTAGTGTCACAGGGAAACATCTAAATGCAGAATGTGAGTGGTGCAGTGAATCAGGGGCAGTGTCTCAGGAGAAAATACTGAGTTGAATTTATGAACAGAACAGTTTGAAAACCATTACACATAACAATGCCAATAGTCCCAAAGCTTCCCATTTAACATAACCTTGAATTTCACAACCCTAAGCAATTAATAAATTGGCCACAAGAAGTCACCAAGATTTCTGGAACTATCTAAGCAATAGGAATTTGTTATTGTCCTTAAATGTTGTCTAGAAAAATGTGTGTGTGTGTGTGTGTGTGTGTGTGTGTGTGTGTGTGTGTGTGTTTGCATACTTTACACGTTGAGGAATTGGATAGGGGGTACTTGATTGAAGAGAGAAACTCCTTCAGAGATTTCCTGTTGAGAAGAATTTCAAATTTTAGGAATGTTTGGCTTCTCTCCAGGCTTGAGTCCTGGGTTTTCAGTGTGGCAGGTGTATGAAGGAGGCAGTCTTTGGCAGCTTTTGTTGTGTGGAATAGAGAGGTTAATGTGATGCAGATGTGACAGAGAATGAAGATCCCTTAATGCAGTGGTTCTCAACCTTCCTAATGCCATGACCCTTTAATACAGTTCCTTATGTTGTGGTGACCCCCAACCATAAAATTATTTTTGTTGCTACTTCATAACTGTAATTTTGCTACTGTTAGGAACTGTAATGTAAATATCAGTGTTTTCCTAAGACCATCATAAAACACAGACCATTCATAACAGCAGGAAAATTACAGTTATGAAATAGCAACAAAAATAATTTTATGGTTGGGGGTCACTACAACATGAGGAACTATATTAAAGGGTTGTGGCATTAGAAAGGTTGAGAACTACTGGCTTAATGAAATTACTAGCTAATCAAGTTTGCTTTCTAAAAGCACATGTAGTGTAAAGCCTGAAACCAGAGCCCCACATAGTATTCAACCTCTTTCATTTGACTCATGCAAAAAAGATAAATGAACAAACCAAGGCCAAAGATGAGGTAGGGAAGATTGGTCTTTCTATCTTCTATTCATCCCTTCAAGTTGTGTGGCCTCAACCTACCCTTTAATTACTCAGGACTCCTTAGTTTTCTATCCTATATAATAAAGAGGCAATATGCAAATTGACCATCACTCCAACACACAAGATGGCTCCCCCATCTGGCCAAAGATTGCCACCCCCTTGTGGACGCAAGATGGCCACCACAAGATGGCCTGCAGGAGGGCAGTTGTGGGCAATCAGGGGGAGACCAGGCCTGCAGGAGAGAGCAGTTGGGAGGGACCAGGCCTGCAGGAGAAGACAGTAGGGGGAGACTAGGCCTACAGGGAAGACAGTTGGGGGAGACCAGGCCTATAGGAGAGGGCAGTTAGGGGTGATAAGGCAGGCAGAGGCAGCTGGGGGTGAGATAGCCCACAGGCAGAGGTAGTTAGGGTGATCAGGCAGATAGGCAGATGGGTTAGGGGCAATCAGTCAGGCAGGCAGAGGCAGTTAGGGACTATCAAGCAGGAAGGCAGGTGAGTGGTTAGGAGCCAGTGGTCCCAGATTGCGAGAGGGATGTCTGACTGCTGGTTTGGGCCTGATCTGATAGGGGTTGGACATTCCTCAAGAGGTCCCGAATGGAGAGGGTGCAGGCTGGGCTGAGGGACCCCTCCCCCCCCCCCCGCATGAATTTCATGCACCAGGCCACTAATCTATATATATATATAGATTATTATATATAATAAGCCTAAGCAACCGTTATAACTGAATTACTAGAACAACCAGTTGCTATGACATGCACTGACCACCAGGGAGCAGACACTCAATGCTGGAGCTGCACCTGTTGATCAGTGGACTCACACAGCAAACCTGCTGTGGTTCCTCCCCCTAGTTGGTCCATCCCCTTGGCTAAGGCTTCGGGCACTGGAGAATCAGGGTCCAGGAAGCCCGTAGGAGGAGAATGACCCCAGTGCTGATCAAAACAGAGTGGGAGGTTGGCAGGATCAAAAGGAGCAAGGCAGCAGCCTAACTGCTAAGATGCAAAGTAAGCACCACTGCTATCTTGCCTCTGCCACCACACCATGCCATGATGCTACTCACCTTTTTGCCCCCATCATCTACTCCTGGCTCTGCCCTGCGCCGACTGGCTAGCACTCCTAAAGTGATGTGCCACCATTGGCTGAAGTCAGCTACCTATCATGCTTGGGGGCAGAGCCCCAAGAAAATATGCAGCTGAGGTAGGAGAGATGACCTGTCTGTCAGCAACTCTACTCCAGGGAGAGTGAGGCAGCCCGAGTGCAGGCAGCAAAGTAAAGCTGTATTTCCACCTCAGGGCATAGCCAGTGTTCAGGCCTTTGGGGGCGCTCTGTCTGTGGTCTTTGCTTGCCACTACCTCAGCACATCTACACAACTAGATCAGAGCCTCCTGTCCAACTTCCTCCCCCCTCCATGCACAAATTCATGCACCAGACCTCTAGTGTTGAATAAAAGTAGTAAGATTGAGCATCTTTGGGTTCTGGTCAAGATGGCAGTATAAGTAAATGCCATACTCGAGTCTTCCCACCACCACAACAAAATTACACCTATATTACAGAACAATCATCATTAATAACTACCTGGAATCTAGCTGAACAGTAGTACTACAACTAAGGCTATAAAGAAGAAGCCACTTTAAAAAGGGATTTCTCAGCCTCAGAGGTGCCCCCTGAGGAGTGAGGGGTCCCAGAACAACGCCAGGCCCCACAGCCCAGGGTTCCAGTGCAAGGGAGAGAAGTCCCCATAACTTCTGGCTATAAAAAACAGAAGGGATTTCTGCTGAGTGAGATGAGTTCTTCTGAAGTCTCAGGAAGTTCGTCTTAAAGGGCCAGCACACATACTTACTTAGATTCACTTGCTCTGAGCTGCAGCATTGCCTACAGGAAACCTAGTTAAGACTGAGGCACATACAGAATGAAAGTGAAGGAACAGAAAATGATACATTTATAATTCAATATAAATTCAGGAAGGACATTACACTGCAAATGTTCTTCTTTGGTAAAACTAATACCAGCAATTCATATAGCTTGTCAGGATCTAAGGTTTCACTGGGAGCCATCAGAGAAATCTTCAGCAGAAGGAAGCTTCAAATGCAGCATTCCTGCAGTTCTCAGCAGTGTATCTCAATGGGACCACCTTTTCATGATTCCAGCAGGAACCACTGCCCAGCTGGTTGTTGGCAGGATAGATAGAGGCTGCCATCCTTTCTGTCACTCTTATTTGTTCTCCCAGTTACAGAATTTCCTGGTGGTGGCAACATTTTTCAAGCCATTCACACTTCACAGGAGAAGTTACCCAAGTTAGCCACTGTACTCTCTTCTTCTCCCACTTTTAGTAGTTTAAAGTTTAAAATGTTGTCATAGACCAATCTGCTTTGATACTTTGGAGCCTATTTGTTGGAGCCTCTCATTTGGGCATAAGTTGCTGGG